AATCAGTATAGAAATTCCTCAAAAAACTAAAGACAGAAATTCCAATTGATCCAGCTTATTACTGTATAGTGTTACAAGAACACCTATGTTTATAATAGCACAATTCATAATAGCCAAATCTTGGAAGGGGTCTATATGTCCATCAATGGATGAATAAATAAAGAAAATGTGCTATTTACACTCAATAGAGTACTACTCTACCATAAAAAAGGATAAAATTGAGTCATCTGTATGAAAATGGATGCACCTCGAGACCATAATGTTAAGTGAAATAAATTAGACATATAAGCTTAGATATCATGGTTTCTTTTTTATGAGAAGCCCAAAATATACATAAAGGGCCGGGGATTTAGCTCAGTGGTTCCGTCACTTGCCTTGCAAGCGCAAGGACCTGAGTTCGATCCCTAGTACCAAAAAAAAAAAATGTGTACACACACACACACACACACACACACACATATATATAAATAAAAAGCAAAATAAATGAAAATACAAGTAGGGACATAGATCATCTTCAAATGGGAAGGGGAGCAAGAGATGCAGGGAAAGAGCATGAAAAAAGAACGGAGATGTTATGTATGTGGAATGTAATCAATATGTAATGCAAACATGTACTAATAAAAAATAAAGAATGAGGGCTGGGGATGTAGTTCAGTGCTGCCATGCCTGCCTGGCAAGCGCAAGGTCCCAAGTTTGATCCCTGGTACCGAAAAAAAAAAAAGAATGGAAAAAATATTACTCGACCTGATATGACTGTGAGATAAACATGAGTTTCCTAGAGACCTGACTCTCATCAAGTACTTTAATTTATACTAACTTTTGAATGGACAAAACCAAGACTTGTGTATGAAATGTGGCCTTGAGTGGTTTCAGACCACAGGGAGACACACCAGTATCAAGACTGTAAAAATAGTTCATGGAGGAAATGGTTCAGGGTCAGAACCATAAATACAGAATTATAACAGAATTCTAAGAATTAAGTGGGACTTATGAGGCCTATAGGGTCATAGACACACTGGGGCAAGTCAGGCATGGAGCAATTTGATCTTTAGGTAAAGATCTCAGGAGCTGGGGATTTAGCTCAGTGGTTCCGCCGCCTGCCTTGCAAACGCAAGGTCCTGAGTTTGATCCCCGGTATCAAAAAAAAAAAAAAAGGATCTCAAGATTTGTGGCTCTTCTTTTACTGATGTTTGCACTTTTTTTTGGTACCTAAGTACTCCTGTCCTAATAAGTTATATGCTGAGAAACTATATCCCTGTGTGTATTATAGCTATATCTAAATTAAGAGCATAGAGACTCTGAATAAGAACCTTAGAAACTCACAAGTAAAGTGCATGAATTTTATAGCACATATTTTAAACACATTCTGATTCTTACAATACAGTTTGGCTTACATTTTCTGGGCTGTGTTCCTAATATCTGGATTCATGACTTCTAGAAAAAAAAGGTCTTAATGGGTATACAGAAGCCCTTCTCCTATTATACTTTTTAATAATGATTTTCTAGATGCAATGTGCGCTTTGGTATAATTTTTCCCTGGTATAATTTTACTATCTCACAATGTCCAATAGTTAGAACATTTTATTTAAAAGGGCAATGATTAATTTGACTTATGAAAATATCTTTTCTCCCTGATTAAGACCAACTTCGACTAAAACTTGGTCAAAGTTTTCAGTAACACAGTCTTAGGAATCTCTGCCCTCTGGTACATGAAAAACTAAATTTATTATCTGTTGACTTTAATGTGTTTTTTGAGCTTTGTCATCTGAGAGGTTAAGCTCTGGAAAATATATATTTCGCTCTCAGGTTCATGGACATTCTATCAACAAGGCACAAGTTTCTCTGTGGCTTTTGTGAAAGAGAGACGAGGGAATTCCTAGACAATGAAGCCAAGACAGCATAATGACAGTTCTGCTTAGGAAAGCAGGAACAAAGGTTAAAAGAAATTAAGGAGACGTTATGATTATGGAAGAAAAGTATTTTGAGGTCTGTTCAATTTCACTACGAAACACTTGAAAAAATGGCAGTTGAGTTTCAAGACCAATGTGTCTGTCACTAACATCTATAGAAAGTGACATTAAGATGAGAAATAGCAGCCGCGCTGATTTTCTCACCTTCTTGTCCTCCCACGTGATGTGCCTTGTGAATTCCACTCTGGGGAAGACACACCACCCCTCTGCACACTTGCTCCTAGACTGATGAAAGTTACTGGCCAAAGTAGGCGGTTAATTTGACTATATGAATTGCTGTTTCCCACACTCCTTATGGTTTAATTTTTATTTAATCTCTCTCATCACTTCTGCTCCAGAAAAACAAATCTTCCTTTTCTTTTTACTGCTCTGTGCCTTTCACTTCATTTCCTCCTTCCAGCTACAAGTTCGTGCCCCTATAATATCTCCTCTTTTTCCTATTTTCAACTATTTCTTCTCCATGGATCTTTCTTCGTCTTGCAAAACTGATCATTTTGCCTTATCCTTAAAGAAAACAAAAAAGATCAAGAAGAATACCATTCTCCTTCAAATCTTACTTCATGAAACTTCCAAGAGTTTTTTCCTCCTACACCAACCTAATGTTTTTATTTTTCCTTAATTTTTTCACTGAAAAGTGTCCTATGCTTACCACCTCACTTCCACAACCCTTATGACCTTGCTGAATTGCTGCAAACCTGGCCTCAGCAGTCAACATCTTAATGGACCAATTCTCTCAAGGACTATCAAACACTTCCTAGGAGTCAGATTTCCTTGGCCTATTTTCACAATATGCAGAACTGTTGATGACCATCATTCTAGAAATTTCTTACTTCTATGATATTGAGCTCTCCTGTTTTTTTTTCTTGATGATTATCATGTTCTCAGTTTCCTCTTCCTCCTCTGCATGTAGAAGTATATATTCCTGAAGACTGTGCTTAGTTTCTTAGTGTACAGCTCATCATTCTATAGTTCCAAGACTGGACTTCGAAAGTCTCCATTTTTTTTTTTGGCCAACTCATTCTTTAATCTAGACCCCCCCCCCCAAAGCCTCTTGGTTTCATAGGTGGGGCTTTTGGGAGGAGACTGCATCATGGGGGTATGATACTTATCAGTGGATTAGTCCAACAATGATTTTATAACTAAATGTGATTGGGATGATGAAGCCTGGTTGGAGGAGGTGGGTCACTGGGGGTGTGGCCTGGAAGGGTGTACCTTCCTCCCTCCTTTCATCCTACTCTCTGCTTCCAGCGGCCATGCAGGCCTTCTCTGCCATGACGCTCTGCCTTGGAGCCAGCCAACCATGGACTGAAACCTCTGCAACCTGTGAGCCAAAATAAATCCTTTCTCCTTTAAGTGGGTGTATTGTGTCTCAGCAGTGAGACAAGTAAGTAAGACACAGAGCAATCCAATGGACTCCACCAGGCCTCATCTCACTTGACTTCTTAGCAGATTTAGACACTGTAGCTCATTCTGCTCCCTTCTTCCTGCTTCCTTGACATCCTTCCCTACTTTCCTTCAATTCTTTCAGCATCTTTTCTGCTTCCCAGGCAAACTCTTCTTTCTCTCCGCAACCATTAAATGTTAGAGTTCCTCAGCACACGCTCACTTTATCACTTTCTATTCATTTCTAGCTTCAATTCCATGGATATGTGGAAGGCACAAATGTTCACCTCTGCGCTACACTTCTTTTGAGCTTCAGACACAGGCAAACACAGGGATGCACATGTGCACAAACCGCCGGTTTAGATCTCTCCTTAGGTGTTACAAAGGAATTTCAAACTCAGTTTGTTCAAAACAAACTAAGGATTTCTTCCCAGGTCCTATCTTTTCAGGACTTTGTGAACAATACCCTTCTCCTTGCAGGTATGTGAGACAAACTGAGACATCAAAGAAAAAAAAGTCACACTTGATATCTCCCTCTCTTTTACCTCAGTATCCATCCATTACCGACATTCAATCTATTTTACTCCCTAAATGTCTTCCACAGTGGTCTATTCTCCTTTTTTTGTTACCTCCACTTTAGTCCAGACAAGTAAAAATTCATCTAAAATCCTGGAAAATATGCATATTATTTCTCATATATGTATATATATAGTTTTAAAAATAATACCTATTTCTAATGGTCTCAGTTTACCTTGAATATAGCCATAACTCCCAAAATAAGGGTAAAAAAGGCTTAACAGTAAAGAAAACTATGTTTACAAAGCTATTACTATCATGAAAGTATTGTTAATCATTTCTAATCCATTCTGATTGAAGATTGGGCAGATATAAGTATAAATTACTTATTTAACAAGTTTGAATAATGATTTCCACATTTGGGATGGAAATAAACGGTTTCTGGGATATCACTATTTAAATGTCCAAAACCCAACTGATATTTATTTTTATGACCCAATTTTACAAGAACATACTTGCTTGGTAAAGCCTGCTTTTTGTGGCAAGATGTTTACAGTTTAGAAAGGTTTTTATCCCGAAGAGTGTAAAATATTTTAAAGTTTCAGGTATTTATCCTCAATGACTCACTTCTGGATGGGGGTGAATAAATGAGATGTTGTTCCACATTATCACATAAATATTGGCACTGTCTCTGCAGATGGCAGGATGTACAGTTTCTTTTGAAAGATTATAGATGATCCATATGTAACAATATAAATCATTTCACATTATGGTCTGTTCTGCTAGCAATTAAGCAGTAAAATACTCTGATCAAAATCTAAATAGATTACTTGAAATTTTTCTGAAAGATTAGAGAAAAAATATAAATCTATCCCTGGAGTATTATTTTAACATCATGTTTCAACAACATAACATGGATATCTCTGCCTTTTTAATAACTTAAGACTGTCAGACTTATGACAAATTAATCCACAGAAAGTTAAACGCAGCCAGACAGATAATAATAAAAACCATCCAAGTCCCTAAAATATTGACTGCTGTGAAGCATCACTCATAAACACAGGGGGAGCACAGGAGGGTCTGAGCAATTTTCTGACATGAAAGTGACTCCACAATTCATGGTGATAGTACCTGCTGTGGGGGAGTTTGCATGGTGTGACTTCTTGGGCAGGTTGAAGATCTGTTCGCCAGGGTCAGGGGGAGGAATTGCATCTTGGCCTTGTCGTGCCTCAACCGGATCATACTCCTTCCCATCATAGTTTGCATCGTAGAATTTCTTAAACCACTGAATAAAATCCAGGTTGTCCTGGAAACGTCCTTTCACTAGCTTCTCCACTGGAATCACCTGGGATAAAATCACTATGTGAGTCACGAATCTCATGCTTGTTGGTATTTAATACAACTGAAGTGTTCCCTAAATATGAATATTTCCTACTTACCTGCAATTCATGACCACTGATATCTTCTGAGCTGCTTAGCCAGCTGTACAGTTAATGTAATTTTTCATCCTATTAAAGAAGAACTTACCCAAACATGGTTCTCCTGAAATATTTAATACTTCTGAGCAAACTAGACAAGGAAGGAATACCCTTAGTTGTCCAGAGAGTCTAGCTCTTTCCCTATAGGATCTTGACTGTCAAGGAATTTCTCCACAAAAACATGGGCTTGGGATGTTGTGCTATTTCAAGACTGATGAGCTTTCCTATTTTTCTTTGTAACACTTTGCCCAGTTGTGGGGGATAGATTTTTAAAAAATTAGTACGTGTTTTTACAGTACATAATAATTACATTCCCTATGAGAAGTTTGTACATGTATGTAACACATCTTAATTCTTTTTTACCCTCCCTTCATCTCTTAGTTTTCTTCCCTATTGCAAAAGATCTAGCTCCCTGTTCCCTATTATCTATCTTGTATTTTGCTCTTCAATTTATTTATAATTTGGGTTTCTCATGTAAGAGAAACCATGTGATATTTAAGCTTGTGTATCTGATTTATTTCATTTAACATTATGGTCTTGAGGTACATCCATTTTCCTACCAATGACTCAAGTTTATGGGATAAACTCTTACAAGGATTATAGCTAATAGAGAGTACAAATGAAAAAACTCAAGTAAAAAATGGATATCAATCTAGTGGCTCATATTAAAGAAACTGAGCTTTCCCAGAGCTCATGTGTAATGTAGAGACTAGTATGTAAACGGCTAACCACAACATAGGCCCCGCATTCCATGGGCTCCAAGAGCACAGGCAGCACACCATCAGCGTGCAGAGGAAAAGAGGGAGGCTGACCAAGGAGTCAGAGAAGGCCCCGAGGAGGAGGTGCACAGGATTCCGGTCAGCTTCCAAGACAGGAAGCTCAGCTTTCATGGAGTAACCTTTCCTATCACAACCTGAAGAGTCAACCAGTATTCCCTATAGAGCCCTTATAGGAATTTTTAGAATTATAATAAGGAAAAAATGGAGTTTGATTGCTTAGCTCTAATTCGGTGGGCCACTATTTTTTAAGGACAATGGAAAGGTACTGGGCCCACTGCAGATTTTACTTCCTATATATCTGGGCAGGAATACTGGATGAATGGAGACCGTGAAAAAGTGACAAAACTAAAGGGTGAGTCAGACTCTGCGTGTGTGTATACACATGCGACTTGGACAGAAACCTAGGGCTCAAAGCATGTGGCTTCACTGTGACAATATGAATGGAAACTATATAAATTAAACTTTCAGTGAGGCTTTGCATCCTCGGGAATTATATACCATTCACATTCTAAAATGTACCAAAAGGACATTAAAAAATATTGAAAGACATTAAATATCAGTGACAGTTTGAAAGGAAAAAGTGATTGTTGTATTTTCGGCCATCCATTAAACTAAATGATTGATAATAAAATTCTCAAAAGTGCTTTCTTTACAGATGAAATAAAAACTGAATCAACTACAGAACAAAATAAACAGAAGCAAACTGTTAGAGAGCACATTTCTCAGGAAGACTCTTCTGATATCCGACACTTGAGTGCTGATATTTCCCTCCTCTCACTTCCCTTTAACTCTCATGGGGACAATTCCTGCTATAGATACAGTTAACAGAGTTTTCATTGTACTGGTTACTTTTATGTCTTTTGCAGTTTTAAGCTTTTGTTCATGTAGTCACTGATTATTGTAAAATGACCTCCTAGAGAATACAGCTCTTTAATTAACATTCTATTGTACTTTGTCTACTGCCAGACTGAGAATTTATAGTTTTAGATAATAGTGGTACCTTACCAGTTAAAATAAGGGTCTTACTTATGTTGACTTAACCTTAAACTCCTGTCAAAATGAAAGTTTCAGGGGTATAAGTTCAAAATCTGAGGGGGGTAAACAAAATTTTGCACAGAACCTTCTGAGATACCGTTGGGCTATGACAGACATAACCAATGTGTAACACTCTCTCTCACAGGACTTATGGGTTCAAACAGCTTAGGAAAGCCACAGAGGCTAACAAGGGCCATAAAGGCTAGGCTCCTTCCACTTCAAGAATTTTCTTCAACATTAACAACTTCATCCATTCTCTATGTGCTCACTTCCAGAAACACGGAGCCCATTAATTTGATATATAGCAAATTCCATTAATAAATCTATGAACATGTGGTTTTTTCCTAATGTAGAACTATGAATAGAAAAATGAATGAAAAAGACACAAGTGGAACTGTTAACTTACTAAAAGCAAGGAGAACCTATACAGCTCTGCTTCTGAAAATGTACAGGAAGACCTAATTGGAAGTTAGCCACAGTAAAAAGACATAAAATAAGTTGAAAAGGATTTGAAAGGCTGTATAAGGCATATTTTGAAATAAAAATTCTGAGAAAATGAGAAGCTGGATTTTCTTAATAGTTTGAAAAGAACATTTTTACTTAAAACACTACTTGTATTAAATTAAAAATATATATAATTTATCAAATTCACTTAACCTCTACCTCTTATAATCTAGTATTTATTTCTATTGCCATAGCCTATTGCTATTATTTATTCAAAGAAAAGTTTTTCATTATTCAAAATTCATTTCTTTGCAATCATTCTATGAGATATATCATGAATGAGAAATATGAATTAAATATGTGTTTTAGTAGTAGTAAACATACAGAAAGCGACTGAGTGGATTTAAGCAGTAGTTCTTCATTAAGAAAAAAAGGACTCTACTACCTAACTCCATTAGTATCACTCTAGGACAAAATTACAATAATTCAAAGGGCGAAAAGGGGGAAATGCATGGACACAGAATTCGAGGGCATATACTATGCTGGGCACTTTCACACGTATTCCCTTATTTCAACTTCATAACCACAGGTAAGGGGTTTCTATCCCAGATTTACAGATGGGTGAGCTTAGACTCAACGACTTTGTAACTTGCTCAAGTCATGGAACTGGGATTCAAAGTGATGCTATTTCCACTGTAATGTGTTGTTTTTCCAAACAGCTACTGAGGCATCTGGAAAATGTAAAAATTTCTCATCTGCAATGCTAAAACACAACATTTGTGGTTCCTGTTACAGTTTTTAGTCTAATGGCTACAAGTTTAGACAATCTCTTGAAATAAAACCTCATACAGGGCTAGGGATTTAGCTCACTGGTGCCACACCTGCCTGGCAAGTACAAGGTCCTGAGTTTGATCCCCAGTACCAAAAAAAAAAACCCCGAACCAAACCAAACCAAACCAAACCAAACCAAAAATACCTCATACAAATATGGGAAGTAGGGTTGATGCTTTATGCTATATATAGATCTCAACTTGTTGATATATCAACAAGTATCCTGCTTATATGTTCCTAGGTTTTTGCATTCTGTTTGAAAAGAATTTTAATGAAAGGATGCATTTTATGGAGGTACAAATGAATCTCCTACCTTATCGACGTTCATTCGCTTAAATGATGCTTGCAGAAGTTTAAAATTGTGAATATACTCATGCTCCAACTTTGCTTGAAATTTTACTTTCTTCAAACTAATGCAGCCTGGAAAGAGCATGTCCATGAACTGGCAATAGGCCGCTCCTAGAAAGACAAGAAAAGTATGTGTGTGAGTCTTGCTTAACCCAGATGTGGCTGAGGATTGCTATGCAGGAAACAGATCGTGTTTACAGACAGGGTCATTCACAGCAGAGCCTTCCTGGTTGTGTGCATTCCTGTAATCACTGCACATACACTTCCTTGTCCATAGGAGCTAGGTGCTGGAGGGAAAGGACCTTGTCTCACTGAAGCAGCACACGTGTCCTCCCCGCTGCTGGCCACTGTGGAGTGCATGGAATGCATCACAGCACCACGGGTCCCTTACCGACCAGCTTCTTGGCAGAAGCTCATTTGCTGATGCCAAGAAAATCAGGGTAAGGATAATTCTTCCTAACTTCTACCAGAGAAAACAAAGGAACATACTTTTTCTCCTAATCTAGAACTACCATATCTGCTCCATGTTATCAACAGATAAGCATTTAAGAAGAGAAAGAACACAAATATAAACATGAGAGAGCTACAAAACTTCCCATGAAATGTGTAGCACAAAATATATACATATGCGTAAGACATTTCCCATCCACCTTGCAAAATAACTGGGGTAAAAACTGTGTCACTAAGCTGTCTAATATCAAAAACAATTGCATACCAATTTAATTGTGGTCTGGAGCAATAGAGTTCCCACCTTAACACAAAGGATGAAGTCAAGGACTCCATGACACTTACTGAAGTTCAGAGTCATGCTGTTTATGACTGAGAAATAAATATAACAGAAATGCTCAATAAGTCCCCTGAGGAAATGGTCATAGGACAAGGTGTTTTTTCCAATTTAAAGAACTCTTAGAACATGACAATTTCTTGAAAATCATGGTGTTTAGTAAAAGAAATTCAAAGCCAGAATTCTTTTTCAATAAGAAAAGTAACTGAGAGGCAAGAACGGAAACCAGTGGCCATTTAAAAATTCTTTGCTCATCCGGATCTCTTGGTCTGTTTTTAGAATGTGCAATGATCAGTCTTTCTGAGGTTGGCTTCCCTCATCCTTTACCACTGAGGCTTCGGTGAGAAGCCTTTCCTTCCATGTGGGCAAGTCACTTTTAGATGGGAAGGGTCCACTCTGTCTCTTATGCCACATAGGTGTGGAACATCCTTTAAGGAGGCAGAGGCAGACAACCCACATAAGAGAGAACAAAAACCCCAGGGACCTAAGGGTTGTAAAACAGGAAATACTGGGGGAACTCATATTTTGTAGGCAAGGGCAGAAAGCGATGAAATCTAGACCATGATAAAATCTCCAGAGTCCCTAAATCTGGCTTCCACTTAAATGCCAGTACCCTAAATACTAGCTAGTGAGTTCCACATCAAGATGAGTTTTCTTAAAAACAAGACCAAATACATTAAACCAAAATCAAAAACACCAAGGGGAGGGGGACATTTAAGAGAAATATCATGATATGGGGGCATTCTTATAGTCATTCAATTTTTTAGTTCATTTTGAAGTGTTATAAGATGTAGTAAATTCCAATAGCCACCTTAACATTATTTTTACATAGGATTGTTTTGTTACTTGCTCTGTAAAGTTTTTTTTAATTTTTGGTACCTGGGATTGAACTCAGGACCTTGCGCTTTTGAGGCAGGCATGGCGGCGCCACTGAGCTAAATCCCCAGCCTAAAGTTATTTTCACTTTTGCAGAGTTTGGGATAAAATTTACTCATGGAAACCCAGGTATTATTCACAAACCAACCAATTAAATCACTCACCTTTAAAAAAAATTAACTTTTGAAAAGAAACATTCCATTTAGAGAGAAAACAAAGGAAAAAAAATCACCTTTAGTGTTACCATCCAAGAGATAACCACTAATTACATTGTCATATGCCATTTTAATCCTTTTTTTGGGAGGGAGTATTATATATTTTTTCTTAAAAAGGTAAAAATACTTTTAAAATATCATATATTATGCATTTTATGTACAGTTTTGTTTTTAATTATTAGTCTCTTTCTGGGTCATTTCAAATTTTCTACCAGTATTTCTTTTATTAGTACATAATCCACCAATATTTTTAATAGCCTCCTGATATTTATATCATGCTTAGCAACTTTTCCAAACCAAGATTACATCAATATTCATGTGTAGTTTCTTTAAGTACTTTTATGATCTCAAATTTTACATTTAAATTCTGAATCCATGTGGAATTTATTTTGGTCTATGATATAAAGTACGGTTCTAATTTTAGTCATTCCAAATGTTAGTCGAAATCTGTCGTTTTTGGCTTCCCTCCATTTGGACACCTCCCTACCTAGGGAGGTGCTATAGGGTATTACTTCCCACCACAGTAGCTGAAGGTGTGCAGGCTTTCTTTTCCAACTCTAGCAATACGGGTGCAGGCCTTTGACCAGAGCTCTGCCTTGGATGTGCCTTCCCAGGTCTCCAAATGGCAGTAGTGACAGAACACAGAGACCATTAGAGCTTAGTCACCACAGCAGTAATGCGACTACAGTCTTGAACAGCAATAGCAGAACAGGAGCACCCTCACCATTATATTCTTATGCTACAACGGAAGTTACGTTCCTATCTCCTTAGCATCCTTTGGTTCTTTCATCTTCTGAGGTTGGCTTCCCATTGACTCTGAATTACTTAATCTCTTTCCTGGAAATTCCTCTTCTGCTTAAACTTGTCAGGATTAACTTCTGCTATTTTCAACTCAAATTGCCGACTGATAAAGTCAAGTAGGTGTTGAATATAAACATTTCACAGGTAATCTATATTTTCCCCACTGACAAGGAGCACTGTCTTTACTATCCTATATATTACTTTCCTAAAACATATGCTTACATCTCTTTCTAGACTTTAATTTTTTTTCTTGTCTGTCTCCGTGACAGTTCCACACTCTCAGTTCTGTATTACTTACTAGCTGTGGGAAAATTTTCCTTTCCTCCTTCTCAAAACTTTCTTATATTTTATCATGAATTTATTCTTTCCATTATATTTTTAATTTGTTGTTCATGGCACATGAAAAATAACAGCTTTTAAAAAAACAAATCATTTTATGATTTAATAACAGCTTTACTGGTATAATTCATACAACACAAAGTTCAACTTTTTGAAGTGTACAGTTAGTAGTAACCACAGAAGTATATATTCATTACTACTAATTCCAGAAGATTTTCATGACCACAAAAAGAAACTGCATACTCATTAACAAAAACTTTCTACATTCTCTTCTTCCCCCACACCCTGGTAACCAGTAATCTATTTCCTGTCTCTATGTATTTATCTATTCTACACATTTTATATAAGTGGAATCATAAAATTTGTGGCCATTGTGCTTGATTTCTTCTATTCAGAAAAAAAATCTCTTCAAGATTCACCAATGTGGTAACACGTGTCAGAATTTCACTCATTTTTAGAGCTGAATAATAATATTCATTGTATAAATATACCACATTTTATTGACCCAATCATCAATTTGTGGACTATTTTGAATACTACTACTACTACTACGAGGATTTGTGTACAAGTTCTTGTGCAGATGTTTATTTTCAATTCTTGTGTGTGTATGTGTGTGTATATATATATAATACAAATATATAAAATATGGAGTTACTAGGTCATGTTAAACATTTTGAACAACTGCTGAACTGTTTTCCAAAGCAGGTTCACCATTTTACTTTCCCACCAGCAATGTATGAAGACCTCCATTTTCCAAATCTTTGCCAACACTTGTTACTGTCTGTTATTTTGATTCTAGCTATCCTAGTGGGTGTGAAGTGGTATTTCATAGTATTTCTGTGTTGTTTTCCCTAATGATTAATGATGCTATACATCTTTTTCATGTACTTTTGATCATTTGTACATCTTCTTTGAGCAAATGAAGATGTTTGTACAAATCCTTTACCCATTTTTAAAAACTGAGTTGCTTTTTTATTGCTGAGCTGTAAGAATTCTTTCCTTCTTCTAGATACAATTCCTTTATCAATATATGATTTAGAAATATTCTCTCCAATTTTCATAATAAATCAGCTATTATATTCCCATAGGATGAGGTCTTTCCCAAACTTGAGTCTGCCTTTGAGTCAAAAAAGGTAATGTTCTCGGGAGGCCAACATTCCAAGAATGTATTAAAAACTGCAATTCTGGAGAACCTGGAAGGAAGCTCCCCCACTGCCATCCCAAGCTCCTAGGGCAGAGAACGTGAGCCAGTCCCAGAACCTGGAAGGAAGCTCCCCCACTGCCATCCCAAGCTCCTAGGGCAGAGAAGCTGAGCCAGTCCCAGCAGCTGGAAGGAAGCTCCCCCATTGCCATCCCAAGCACCTAGGGCAGAGAAGCTGAGCCGGTCCCAGTACCCGGAAGGAAGCTCCCCCACCTCCATCCCAAGCTCCTAGGGCAGAGAAGGTGAGCTGGTCCCAGAAACCAGAAGGAAGCTCCCCTGCTGCCATCCCAAGCTCCTAGGGCAGAGAAGCTGAGCCAGTCCCAGCACCTGGAAGGAAGCTCCCCCATGCCATCCCAAGCTCCTAGAGCAGAGAAGGTGAGCCGCGCGGGTGCCAGAAGCAGGCCCCCGCCCCCCGTGGAAATGAGAAAACACGTAAACAAGTCTCAAAAACAGACTTCTGGATCACCTACAGCAACCCCAAAGGGAAACGAGATGGAACACTCTGAT